TAGGTATGTGCATGGTAATATTAGTGTAGTTATCTTATAATAATTTGTAAATTTGTGATTTTTTGAAGAAGTCTATTGTGTTCAATTTTGTTTTATTTTTCCCTAGATAATGAAATTATCCTGATGTACAGGAAGGTTCTTTTAAAAGTAAATACTCATTTCATTGAAAAGTTTTTACGTTTTTGGAGATTTTTTACCTAATTTGAAATCAAAGTAGTCAAACACTTAAAACAAATTATATTTTTTAAATCTTTACTTTTTTGAATGACAGCACACATTTTTCATTTCATATTTTGAAGCAAAATATCATTAATTCTGCAATATTATTTTTTCAACGCATCGATAAATTTCAATAATTTGGAAGGATGTGCCAGCTACTGAATTTAAAATTGAGGAATCTTGCATCCAAAAGCCCATGAGTATAATTTGTTTTGCGCCCAATTATCCACTATAATTAAATGGATATGATAAATAGCACATTAACCATCTGGCATCTAAAACTCAAATTATTAATTGGGCCAAATATACTGAATAGTTTACTATATGTGGGCCAAAAACACAAATTCATTGAATAAAAAACATTTTATACACATTTTTAATTGTATTCATTTTTTACAATATAATTACAATACTTATTCAATAATATTACAGAAGATAAGACTAAAAAGTAACCTAATGTAGTAATGTATGCATCTCACATTCTCACTAACATAGTTGTGACACGAAAAGGGAAAATTGTATAGTTTTTTTTCAATTAATTGTTCATTAAAGTAGTTATACGCGGGCCTAGAACAAAATGTGTTTGATATGCCTCGTCTATTATAATATACCTCCTAAACATAATCTCAATTTTAGATCATTAAAAAACTTATATAATTTATAAGTTAAACATTTTAGTATTATTATTTTTAGTAATTATATACTTTATAGAAGTTAGAACAAAAATATAAAAATATATATATTTTTTTAAATACCACCATTTTAAGATGATTACTTCCCTATGAAGGTTATATTTATAGTTATACGGCCTTGAAATGTGTAATATTGTTATATATATATATATATTATTAATTGTTATTAATATTCAATCAATGTACCGACCTACCTAACTGTCAATTTTGTTTAAAAACTACAACTATTAAAATTTGATTAAGTATAAGTTAAATTCTATCATAATAACTATTAAGTATAAATTATAGTCACAACGTTAAAAATACATTTGAGCTTTTTTCTAATTTTTTAATTGCTTGTCATGAACCATGATTATATAATAACACAGACCACTGCACTGCTGCAGTATCATTTGTACCTATTCTATAGTCTTTAAATTATATATTATAATCCACAGTAATATAATATGAGCCGTGAGTAATTTAACTATTAATTATTAGTAATTTGAACTAATTTCATTTGTATTATTATTCTATAGGACACCTGTTATTTCATTTTCCTTGTATTATTATAATAATTCATTCCTGTAAAAGGGCTAGTCCGTTGAATTATAAATAAATAAACAAAAGATATTTTACAATACATGATACATGCACACAGGTAACTATACAGTAATTCTGAATTCAATAAATAGAAATACATAATTGACGAATGCAGATCCTGGGACCTGGGTGGATAAAAAATGTATGACATTAATTTTATGCTTCGATGTCTTTCGAATAAAACGACAAATTGTAAAACGTACATTGTCATTTTGAGTTTTTGACGACCCTACCAGTAGAAAGTCGTAACTCGTAAGTCATAACTCATAAGTCATAACCATTTGCTAAAATATAACAACAAAAAAACATAATGTGCCGTACTGTACGTCTATCGTCAGTCTATCCACATTCCGAGTTTTGATTCGAATATAATGTATGATTATTTTTAGGATGCTCTCGAATCGTTGAAAACAATCCAGAGAAGTGCCCCTTAAAACTCCGTCCCGACAATGTAATGTTAGTAGGTGTTTAGTGCTCGTGGGACGCGGATAAAATAATTTATATGATATACGTGCGATGATATCAAAATCGCGGATTTATTCCAAACGTATCTCGTTATGATATTATAATACATAACTCGTATACCTATCGCAGTATAGTGCAGTGCGTACTTATTTATTTGAATTTCCACAAGGAAAATACTAGATCACATCGATTTATAATAATAAATCCGCACAAATCCGTAAAACCAATTTAGGGGCGCGACCATTATTCCAGCGTGAAGCATTATATAATAATATCAGTATTAATGTTTAATCGCGGTCATCCCTCCAACAAACCACTAAACAATATTGTGGTTTATTTTACATAAGTTCCCATTTATACCCAACACAGTGCTAAGCGTTTATAATATAATAACGCTTTACCCATAATATGTAGTACCTACTGAAACAATATAGGAACACACGTAGTTGCTATGACGAAAAGTGCAGGGGATTTACTCAGACAGTTCGATATAGATACCTATTATACACTTTAATACCTAATATAATATTTTATAACCAACTCCAAATAATTATTACCCGTGTTTATTAAAGTCGTTATTTTTTTTCTACTTTGGATCGTTTAATATTTCACTTCTTATACCAATTTTCAGATAACAATATATTCGACACTCGACCGCATAATAAGCACATACATACGCATATTATACATTTAACTAAACACGTCATGATGATAATAATTCACTGTTCGGATTGGGATCCGAAATTAAGGAGTTCAATCTAACGAGTTCCAAGTGAACAATTATTTAACAAAGGCCCAAGGGGGGCCTCAGGGCTCACACCCTCAGGACATCACTACATTTTTTTAAATAACACAAGACGTGTACCTATTGCTTATGTATGAATTAAAAATTTAAAAATAAAATCCATCATTTTAATGAACATGGATTTAAATTCGACGATCATAAATTTAGTCGACACTAAAAATTCGAAAACATCGTCCAGTGATAACTAAAACTGATAACCCAAGCAATACATACAATAAACAAATAAATATAAAATATAATTATTATTACTTTCAGCGAGAGAAAGCAGGATCGAGATACTATAGATAAATGTGGTGTGAGGGGCGCCGCAACCAGAATGACTTAATAGTAAATACTTGTCCTATATTGTGGATCGGAAATAGGTGACTTGATGTTAAAGCAAGTAATGTTGTTTTTTTAATATTATTTGTCTCTGTAAACCTGAAATAACTTGCTAAGAAAAAAAGGTTTTCTTGACCTCGACAATTTGTTTTCATCATCGTCCTGACCACGTTCGAAACTTATCAGGAACCGACCTCTGACCCATAAGAACGGAAGTCGGTAGAGCCGGCGTACAGCCGTACAGATGCAGTGTTATCGAATAAACAAAATAGTCTAAATTATAATTAAAAATATTAAAAAATTGTAACCCATTGAATTTTTCAATTAATCGACAGTAACAATGTATATAAGTTGGTACTTATACCAACCTAAAGTATCAATGTTTCACTGTCGAAAATTTTAATCGAAATTTGAAGGCAATTAATTGAGTTATTAGCTTGTGCCGTTTCTCCCGTGTCATTAAAAAAATTGACCTGTTGGAATAGGTACGCAGAAGAAAATAATAGTATAAGACTTGCACCCCCGCTCTCCATAATTCGAGCTCTATATTATAAAAGTGATGTATAGATATAGTTAAGTGTAATTAAGTTGATGTATAGACCGCAAAGGCGCGAACATAAGCATGAACGGGGATCGGTTTGTATAGGATAGAAAAGTCATACTGTTCATAATTGATTTTCAAACGCATATATATATAATAAACCGCTGGAACGGGAGAAACCGAATTCATATACCGTTAAAATAGTTAAAACCATCGCGTGGGCTTGCGTATCGTACAGTAGTGACACGTAATAATAGAAACTCGACGTGAATATCGCAAATCTAGAAAAAAAATTCAACCCAGCGATTTGTGTTTTACTGTTTTCCGCAAAAATCGAAACATATATCTATGATGGTTTTTATACACACGCGCGTATCCAAGGTGATCGCACGCACGTACCTCGCGAAAACTATAATGATGTACATTATTATCATTATCATCATTATTATCATTAATATCATTAATATCATTAATATCATTATTTCACTATGTATACACCCGCGATAATTACGTGGTTTTGAGCCTTGTACCTGACCTATAGAATGATTTGTGTATTCGATAATATGTTGTACGGCAATAAAATGGTACAATATTATAATATACAGGTCGGCGGTCACCTGCGAAATTATGTAGACGGCGGTCCGTGCAATTTACAGGTCCCACCCCGAGCCAACCCCCCCTCCTCCTCTGTCATTCCAAGCCACGGACCAACTGACCAAGTCTGAAGTGTGTCCAGTACTATGCTACTGCAACTCGTACATATTTTGTGATTGATGTGGAACATCTAATGCGGCGGTTGAGACCGGCTGTCGGCGTGGCGACGTCGCCACGAGAGCGTGCGCGGAAAGCGCGTGTTTGGCCACACGCGCGGAACATCTGATGCGCCTTTTAAATAAAAAATGGTTTTCGATGTTTCACAATTCACATCTGCCAGGTGCCCCGCGAAGGCTCGCTTTTTTTTCATTAGCTTTTAGTCAGTGACTAAACACAAAAATAATATGACAGCTCGGCAATTATTGTTTTAAATGGTGCACAATTATGATAATAATAAAATAAAAACATATGCTATAACTCGTGTATTAGAATATTCTATGGATTAGATATTATAATATAATCGGCGCTCGTTTGGTGGATCGTAATAATATTTTAATGAGTGCACGGCGGTGGGGGGATGGCATCCCTCCAATTTTAACGGTTTACTTTTTCCATCCCTCCATTTACATCGAGAGCCACTTCGATCACTGAACTGACCAATGAGAATATTATGGTGGGTGTGTAATATTATCATCACGTACTTCGTTACGAATAATATAATATATAACATAATCCTAAAAATAGATTTATATTTCATATGATATGTACATATTATACTGACCGTTCTGTTTGTCCTGAGAACCGACCACGGCGGAGCCCACCTCTTTCCACGCGGCGTTCTTGGCGCTGTAGTCCTTGAACACGTGCATTGACTGATCGTAGAGCACCGGTCGATCTCGCACCGCGGCCAACAGTTTTTCGTCGCGCGCTTTGCTCGCCGTTTTTTTCATGTCCGGCCGCGGGTCGTCCGGACGGTGCGGTGACTACGACTGTGGCCGCTCTGCACGTCGGCGCCGCGCGCCACGATTCGCGCGCGTAAATATTACAACGACGTAGCAACAGCAGGCAATATCGCGCGTATCATACCATCGAACGCGACCAGAGCGATATTATTAATATTTACAGGCGCTGGACAATATTACTGGCGAACGGGCGCGCGCCGTTATTTTTTTATGTCGCCGCCGCCTAGACGCGACAATAACAATTTCGTGATCAAAATAATATTATGTTACGATCAGGCGGCGACTTGGACGACGCCTGTGCCGTGCAGTGGGCCGTGTCAAAATGGGTATTATGCGGTGCTATACGCGTGCACGCGGTCGCGCTACTGCTTCGAGGACGTGCGCGGTTTTTGACGCGCGACGCTCGGGCCTCGACTGCGACCGCGATTATTATAAAATAATACGAGTAATAATAATAAATTTTCCACCGTCGTCGTTACAATATGCACCGCGCGCGCGGTATATTATAATGCGGTACGCGCGGCGTCGGTCGAGGGAATCGCTAGGCGTCGACGTCGCGCGTATAACGCGCAAACGTGTACGTGTGCAGCGCAATGTGCGTGTATATATACATAATATAATATTATCATACACACGCGCACACGCACGGCGAGGCAGAGTTATAAAACGTGCGCCGCGCGCGGAACGCGGCTCTGGCGACGGCCGCCTCCCCGCACGGCCCCCGAGCGAACCCGCGCGCGCGCGCGCGCTCGCGCTATTACGTGCACCACGTCGTATGCTCACATATCGCTGTGTGCATATGTATATATATTATACGCGCTGCGTGTGCGTGTGCGCGCGTGACGTTGTAACGCGACGCGCAATCGATTGCGTGCAGGGCGGCGGTGTTGTCGTCGCTATACACACAAACCGACGCCGCCGCGTGCGGGACGCGAAGCCGGTGGACGCCGGTCGGCGGGCTAGCGATCGGCGGCGGGTGGACGACGGAGCGGCGCGCGTGCACGGCGGATGGACGCGCGCGCTGTTCATGCGTCCCCGTGTATAATAATAATTTGCGCTCGTACAGACCGGATGACGACACGCGCGGCCACAGGAGTGTGAGGACTACGCCGGCGACGGACGGGGCGATCGAAGCGCAAAATAATAATTATGTCGTACATAATGATGACGATATTATAATAATATTCGCTCTTGTCGGCAACACGAAAACCGAAAATCGTTTCCCCTTGTCCTCGTACGCTCGCGTGTTCAACGCGAATTACATAATGTACGTAGCGATTATAATAATATATATAGGAGTGATTTTTAGGTTTCTTATCACTTGTGTGGTGCACGGCGGGGTGGGGGATGAGAGCGATTTGCAGTAGTTGTATAATTTTTCTAATTATAACACACACACACACACACGCACACACATTATGTATGGCTTAAGTTGTTTTCATTTATATAATAGCATGAAACTACGAAAGGTTCAAAGTCATTATAGCTCAACAATTACGTTGACTACATTTAGAGTACTATAATTAAAGTGTACATTTATTAGGGAGCCAAAAACCCAAATTTCCTTTTTATTTATATACGAACGATTACTCGTTAACGGTCTACTCGACCACAAACAAAGGCTTACGGGAGTAGATGTATTCTTTATCTCTGTATATATTACATTACGTATTTGTAAAAAAAAATTATTATTAAAATAGAAAAAAAATTCGTCTCGGTTATAATTATTTACTCGAGTAGTGCGAATGCTCGATCATTTGATATATTATAATATAGTAATATCATATTATAGTGACGACTCATCGCATAATATTGATGTGCTTATCATGCGGTACGTTTCGGCTTTTTAATTTTTTGTTTTGTTTTACCGTTTTTATTGTTATCTCTGTAATTTCAGTCATATGTGCACTATATAATGTCTCATCCCACCGTCGTTTTGAAATTCACAAAAAATAACCCCGATTATAATAATATGTACCTATTAAAATGATTATCGTCCGTCATCGGATCATTATGGGTATAGTCGTAGACATAATTATTATATTGTAAATTTATATATATATATACTTAATAAGTAATTTAAATAAAATAGTATTATTATACGATGCATACTCGTCCCATAGACACGACAGTATATAATTATTATGTTATTATAATCGTCGTTACTTCCTCCTCCTCCAGCCCTGTGTTGTTATGACAACCTAATGACGTGTTTAACTTACCCCGCTTACGCTGCGACACGCCGCCGAATGCTTGAATCTGTAATATTATATTATCATTTTTTAATATTGTACTTAAGCCGAGCAGACGACTTCGCTAAAGTTATTATTATTACTACACTATTTTAATATATATAATTTTTTTCAGAGTTATATGAAATACTCTCTCGTGGCGTGGGTGGAGGGTGTTGATGTGCAGTTTCACCTCGAAACATTCCGATAAAATATTATTATCAGGGCTCGGAAGTTGATGTATTTTGCATTTTTTTTTTTGGAACTTTTTAAACGATGCTCTCCTGGCCACAAATGTGTTTCATTAGCATCTGAATCTGAACAACTAATTTTTATTTTGCATTTTTTGGTGTTTATTACTTTTTAAGTCATTTTTTGACATTTTCAGGTCATTTCCCCACATTTTTAGTCATTTTTACTGATTTCACACTAGTTCACTTCTTATCGTTTCTTGTCTATGCCGATAACTTAAGACTTGGAAGTTACCACGGGGCACGGACTAAGATTAGTACCTATCCGATTTTATCCCACCGATTACGTTTGTCGTTGTCCTGTTGTAGTGAACATTATTATACCTACATTTTATTATTATTTATTTTTTATGTCATATTCTGAGCAATTTGTAAGCTTTAAAATGTATATAGAATTTTATAGTAAAATGGAGTATAATATTAAAAAAGTGTATTTTTATAAATTTAAAGCAAATATTTGTAATTTTTTAGGTCATTTTTTAAGGACATTTTTATGTCATATTTGCATAATTTGTTTAGGTCATTTTTTGATGTTTGTAAGGTCATCAACTTCCGAGCTCTAATTATTATAGTCCGTTAGCGCTATCGCGGACAGATGAAGAAATCCGTGTTCATGAAGAACGGGACGATTTGCAACCGTAGCATATAATGCAATAACCTCATCTTCACCATTCCCGCGAGATTGGTCCAACAACAGTCAACAATCCAACTGTTTTTGTTTGGATCTTGACCATGTTGTTACTTTGTCAAGTAATATTTTAAAATGTATTATTATACATTATCATGATGTATGAATTAAAGCAAAAAATGGCTATTGCATGTGCGGCTATGCACATTCACGTGTTGTTACTTACAAAAAAAAACCAAAAAAAAGATCAAAGTGGGTGAAGGATTGGAAGTTAAATTGAAATTATAGCTGTATTTTACTACTTCTTGTACTTGAAGAAAATAACCAGATGATTGTAGGAATAACTTTTATATTGTGACGCATAAGTTGTATATAGGCAGAGATTTGGGGGCTGAGGCTAAACCCCAGCCTCCAAATGTCCGCCAAACCCCCTCCAAAAGTCCAACAGTTATTGTGAAGGGTCAGAGCCCCCCACACTTTAGGTTCTTTTGAAAAATAGTAGCTCCCCCGACCCCCAATATTTTCAATGGATTTCCGCCTATGACAGGTTGTGAGTTGTGATGATGACACTGCAGGCGACTGTGCGACATTATATAGTTGATTATTACGCTTTAGGTACCTACTACCTATACTACCTACTTATGCATGATGTGCAATCTACATTTTTGAATTTTTTTTTTATCAATTAAAACCATAAAACTTATTTGTATTTAAATGTTATTATTGTAAATTAGAATTTTTTTAATTATATTTATCTGAGTTATCGGGAAAACTCACAAGTTTAGAAGAATCAAATACCTTATGCCAAAGAAAATAAACTAATAGTTTGAATATATTTAAGGTTGAAAAGATTTTGAGGAATATTCTAGGTCCCAGTGAGAAAATAGTTACAGATAAATTTAAATAAGTCATGGTATGGATTCCACTATTTCAGTGTCTGATCGTGCAGGGGATACGCCCAGCACTTTTGGGGATTTCCACTTAACCACCCGGCACTATGGGGATTCCCACTCTACCACCCGCTGGACGGAAAAAGGTCACATTCCAACGCTTCGACCATCATAAAAAACTAAACTTTTGGTGAAGACGTGTCAAAATAATACTGTTCATGCTTACTCTGAGGTTATGGCAGGAAATCAAAATAATAATTTAGATTTAACGCCAAATTTTTTTAATGTACATCGATAACAAGCCAAGACGTTGAACTTATACTTTTTCACAGTACAAAAATATTAGATTGAGTAACAAACGATTCAATTTTCAAGAGCACACTTTAGAAATGTACGTAATAATACATTTTGATTCAGAAAAATAGTATATTTTAATTTTTAAACACTTATACGTAATATATTTTTTTTTTTATATATATCAATATCATATTATATTTTAAGTAAGTAACTAACAATTATCATATATTTTATATGATATTATATGATTTTATTGTGTGTACATTTTTTTAAATTTTACAATGCATACAAATTAAAATATCGTAAAAGAGCCGACCTATATATTTTTAATTCAATTAAATCAGGTCTTTAGACTCATTTCTTGTACTAACTTGCTATAAAGCAATTTATTGTACTAATTGTGTACTAAAAGGGTAATTTTCCGACGATTCACTGGCATCAATAACTATAAACTTTAGTTGCAGGCGTGACAAAAAAAATTATACATCAATAAATTTAAGTTAAGTCAAAGCAATTTAAATTAAGTTGCGTAGTCTCCGTAGGTGGCCATGCCACCTAAGCACCTTGCTTACAATACACGACTAACGCATGAAATTCATTTCATTCAACATTCAAACAAATTTTTTATACGCGCATACAATCTTCAGATAACCAATAATACTCAAATATATTATGTTTCATGGTAACTGTATTAGTGAAATTATAGAAACATGTATATGTATTCCCAGCGGTCAACGGTATAATTGTATTGTACACTACTCTACTCATCACTAGTTTAAATTTCGAACAAATTAAAATGTCAGATATGAAGCGGTATTTATATGAAACCAAATGGCATAAATATTATTGCATAATAAATGTAGTATAGATATTATCATAGACAGAGGTGTGCTCAATAATTTTGAAGGGAGGGGGGGGGGTTAATATATAATATAATCAATATGCAATAGTATACATTATGAATTAGAATTAGAACTGTATGAAAGTAGTCAGTACAAACATATTTGTCAAGTGCTCATCATAAACCCCCTGCCATCCCGCCAGCACGCTCATGATCATGGGTAATAATGATTTTTGTTTATGAATGGTTGCCATTGGTTACATCTTAGGTACAGGTTATAATAGAAGAAATAATTTTTTTTCGTATATAAATGGTTAGGTTAGGCCTTCATTACTCGGACTGCAGATGAGGAAAAAGCATACATCAAATCGTCCTTTTATGGCCTCGAATAAATAAATTAAATCTTAAAACAAATACGAGAGTTGGATGTATGTTTTTAGCTATTATATACTTCAAAAACTACGTGATCGATTTAGTGAAAATTTCAAACTATTTTTAAAGATACAAGTAAAGTTTAGAGAGTAGTTTGAACCACTTCCGTTCCATGCCAAGTGCTATATTCAACCCACTAAAGCAGTTCCGTAGACAGAAATGTTTTTTTTTTTTGGCGGGGGGTATATTATATACGTTCCATGTTGTAAGAGGGGGTTAAACTCCCTAACCCCTCCCACCAATTGCTAAAAGTGAATTGTCCATCACGGTCGAACTAGCTTACAGGGTTAAGTGCACTAAAACCAAGATTCACATATAATTATAAGTGCTACATTTTATATTTAATTTTTTTCAATGGGGCATGGGCAGTCAGGTTATATAGTTACAAATGGATGTTGGTTTATCCGAAGTTAATAGACTCAAAAAAATTCTATACAGTTTTTAATAAAAGTTATTTCAAAAGATTCCTTGAGACTTGGAGGAAGTCTGTAGCTTATTTTTGCAATCCATAAATGTAATTAAAGGGTAACTTACATATGAGTTTGTTTTAGCTGATGGTGGTCCCTATGGGCTATACAAAGTAAAATATTTATTCGCATGCAAATTAAAACATTGAATTTGTATGAGTGCATTTTGTAACATGAGGTCATTAACTAAGTATTATGCGCTCCTCCTCAACAGAGATTTATAGCTTTTCTTTAACGATTTCAACTATATAATAAATATAAATTGATTTTTGCACACAACTTTAAAGGTAAGAATAATGAATGGTTTTCTAATTTATTTATGCAGCTTCATTTTTATGACAGATGAACTTATGACTCTATATTAATTACACTACATAATTGACATACACATAATATTATGGTTATTTTTTAACGCGGCGTTTTAGATAGGCAATCTGTGTACTTACAGGAGAATAATACATTATTTAAATATATAATATTCAAATCTGAATTTAAAGGATTTTTTCTTTTATTTATTAGTATTCAATATCCCCCTGTGGCTCTATTTTAATATAAAAATAAAATTATGTTTAATTTAACTTGACATTGGAAAATACTAAATTCCAAAATAATGCAATCACATTATTTGAAAATATAAATGCTTAAAAATGTTAGTTTAATTACATTTTTATGTATTTTACATTATTAAAAGTATTATTTTTTGAAAAACTGAAACATTTAAAATCATCCAAATTTTGCTACCTATTAATTTATAATTTATCTACTAACCAATGTCCAGTTGTATACCGTTCCTCATTGGTTGATTTTTTTTATGTATCAACTAATATACAGTTATTTGAATGAATGTCTAATAATTATAATGTAATACGAATTGTATCTATCATTGATCATAAATGTGCATTTCAAATTAAGGTAAAATCCCAAAAACTAAGAATATGATTATAGTTTTTCCTTTATTAAAAAAAAAAAAAAAAAAACAGTAGGAAATAAATAACAATATTTATTGACATAACAGAAAAAAACACATTAATAAAACATTCATAAACGATATCAGCATCGGTCATTGCAGCTTCTAACATCAGTCAATATTACTATAGCTGGTAAACACAACACTCATTGGTAGGTAGGTTTGATTTATTTTATATAAAATGTATGTCATATATTTTTGTGGAAGTTATGTTGGGTAAATTAAAATTATTAAAAGATCTCAAAGAATTGTACACCTCTGCAAAACCAAACTGCAACATTGATTATCCGTTTTAGTTGTATGTTGTGGTGGTATCAAATCTAAGTCCTCAGATTCTATAGATCCATGAAATTCTTGTAGACTGAAAGTATCGCTTAATGTTTGCCTAGCCTTTGGTCCAGGAAAAAAACGTATTTCCATTTCACTACAAAAAACCAAAGTGTATATTTCTTAATCTTTAGATGAATCAAGTCTAAAATTCTATTTATTGATGGATAATATAAATTCTAAATGGGTTATCATTATAAAGAGATTACCTGTCAGATGAATCCCAATCTACTAACACCGGTAATTTATCTATCTTGGACGATTTGCTGGTTGGTACAGCCATTTGGTTGTACTCCATCAAGCCAGGTTTAGCATATTGTTCTATAGTAAAAAGCAAAAATAATTATAACTCAATGAAAATATAATAGTAAAAAAAAAACAAATTCTACAGGAATAACAATAAACAAAAAATGATAAAAAAAATCTTACCACTTTATTTCTTTCATCGTGCATTCGTGCATGATAAAATAATTTGAAAATTCAATAAACATAAAGCTAAATCTAAACAAAATATACAAAAATAAAAATAAAATAGGATATTTTTCTACATTAAAACCATACAATGATAAACAAAATAATATGTTGATTGTTAATTGATTAATTGACTTGCCCAATTTTTTCTGAAAAAAAGAAGGTTTTGTAACTCTCATCGAACAATCACTTGTGTTGCTGTCCTCGTCACTGTTCTACAATTAAAATAAAAATTTTTAATTCATAGTCTAATTGTGTTTTTCCACACATTGCATCAATAGATATACTTTAAAATTTGTAATACAATTATTATGTTAAAAAAAAGGATTTATGTAATAAACTATAATATGTGTATACTTACTCTGTCATTTTCTTCGGTAGTAGTTTTATGACGCTTTGTAGTATCACTGTCTATTCCACTATCATCCATCTGAAATACATAATTCTGTAAAATGCAGTTTGAACAGAGAACAATACTAAACTGTTTGGCTGTTTAGGATGAATATTAAAATGGTGCTGTAATAACTAGGTAATAAATTACTTTTGGTACAAAAATTCATAAAAAAAATCTCCAACTTGTAGCTGAATTACAATCATGATTAAAGATATATCAATTAATGTACCTAATATATTATATTTCAATATAAAATAAGTGATTTTTGGCAGGGACTTTTCAGAAAACTTTCTATATAATATGTTTTTTTTGCAATTTTATTTTCAACAATATACAATTTTTCTGGAAATACGGGCTTGGGAGGTAGCCGAGACACCTAGGACTCTCTAGTCTTGTGGTACATTAAACAATTTAAACGTAACAAATTACTAACTAATAGAAAAACAAATTTGAATTCAATAAGTACATAGTTTAACACTTACCATGATTGACGACATTACGAGAATTCAGATTCTTGGTAACCACGCATTAATAGGTAACAACTTTAGAGTTGAATTTCACGAATTCTAATACGCTAATCAAATAAAAACTACCCAGCAGTCAAGACTCAGTAGTTGTAGTTGTAATTCGTAGCACAAAATAGTGGTATGTACTGTGTAGTAGTGCTTGACGTTCTGTATAGTTATTAGTTACTATTTACGTATTATTCGAATTAATCGCAATATTAATAACAAATCCATACCCATCATTCTATTGTATCAAGTCAATCTGTAACCGTGTTTGAAGTGATAACATAGTTATACCTACGATAAGGGGCAGATTTTTTATCTGTGGTATAACATAGACCTCCATATGGGTAGCCATGGTATTATACATAGATATGCACACCCTGCTTTCTTTTTATTTATTTTTTGTAATTATAGATAGTAGATAACAATATTTAAAAAAAGTCAAAGAAACAATTTTTAACTTAAAGAATTATTAGGTGTATAGTAGCTATAGATGTTACAAAACACAAAATGTACCATTTTATAATGATTAATTTAAATATCCAGTTTTAAATACTTAGGATATAGTTTAAATAGAGGATAATTTTGAATATTTTAGTTTTAAATTTGTTTAATATTTAATATGATCACAACTCAAAATTAGAATCTTTTCTAACTAAACCTATTAATTTACGTTAACATCAAGATGAAATTATTTTATATTATCATTGTTATTATGATGATTACATCTTCTAATGCAGATTGTGGATGTAATACAAATCGCCTTAAAACAAATACTAAAGAAGATGTCTGCACATCATCAGCAACAAGTCATTCGGAAACGTTTGAATCAGAATTAGAATCTATGATTTTAATCAAAGGGCAGAATTTTTCGATTGGTACTGACAAACCAGAGATTGTGACCGATGGAGAATCTCCATCCCGCACCGTGTACTTGGATGATTATTTCATTGATAAATATGAAGTAAGCAATTTAGAATTTAAACATTTTGTTGAAACAACGGGATACCAAACAGAAGCAGAGGTATTCGGAGATTCGTTTGTGTTTCAATTATTTCTTAGTAAAACTACATTAAAATCCATAACACAAGCTGTTAAAGATGCTCCCTGGTGGGTACCAGTTAAAGGTGCCAATTGGAAACATCCTGAAGGGAAAGATTCTAATATTAATGGTAATGCAACATATATTTATACAATAATTATGGTTATAATACAATCATTTTTGTTTTAGATAGAGAATTACATCCTGTTGTGCACGTTAGCTGGAATGATGCCATAGCATTTTGTAACTGGGCTGGAAAAAGGTTACCAACTGAAGCTGAATGGGAAGCTGCTTGTAGGGGTAATCTCAAAGATAGACTTTTTCCTTGGGGAAATAAGCTTCTTCCAAGTAACAAGCATAGGTGATTTTTTGTTATTTAATATTTATGATTTATTTGAAGTTAAAATGAAATACATATTAATATAAATCCTAGCGAATAATGATTCAAAAGTTTTAATACAAAAAAAGAACTTGACGAAATGAGAATTAGTTGGTAAGTATTTCTACATAGTACAAAGTGATCTATAAAGCATATATGTATATATATCGGGGTTACCTACAATGGAATACATTACTCATAAAGTATATTTTGCCCACAGAAAATTGGGTATTGTAACTTATTATTTATATTTAAATAACAATATAAAAAATAATTTAAAAAAATTACTTTTTAATTAAATTACCAACTTTAAAAAGACACCATAAAATTATTATTCACCTTTCTGTTAGAACCTTAACATTTGAAACACACTTCACTTCAAAAGAAATTGATATTATTGTCGTGCCATGATTATTTCGCCTACAAAATTAATTGGCTCATTAGCTAATCAAAATTATTTTAATACTCATATATTTAATGAACGGTTTTAACATTTAAGATTTTGGACTATAAACAATTACATCAATACAACCATGCATAAAATGTGAATTGTTTGTATTATTTGTGCAGTCTAGTTGTGTATACTACTGTTTTAAATTAAAATGAGAGAAATATTTATGCAAATAAAAATTTTAATTTCATTAAATATTAAATAAATCAAAAAATCAAGGTAGCTTGAGCTAAACTGGGCAATATATACTTTACCCATAACATATATATAATTTAGTTACAAAAGCCTTAGAATAGAATAAACAGTTGAACTTCAAAAATTATAAAATAATAAAGCTTTATTAATTGAATATTGTTTTTTTTTCTAAGAACAAATATTTGGCAAGGGGAATTTCCATTCAAAAACACTGCTGAAGATGGATGGGCAACTACAGCTCCAGTAAATACGTTTCCAAAAAATGGTTATGGTCTTCATAACATGGTAGGAAATGTATGGGAATGGACAAATGATTTTTGGAGTGTGGATCATGACCGAAGTTTTACTATCAATCCAGTGAGTTTAATTGTTTAGCATAAATTAATAGTTATCTACAAATTCAAGTATAACTAAGTTAGTGTTTTAATTATTTAAGGGGGGTCCTTCAGAAGGAAAAGAAAAGGTTAAAAAAGGTGGGTCATACTTGTGTCACAAAGAGTATTGTTATCGTTATCGATGTGCTGCAAGAAGTCAAAATACACCAGATAGCTCTGCATCAAATCTTGGATTCAGATGTGCAAAAGATAAATAATAAATTGGAAACTGAAAATAGAAACAAACATTTGTATTTATATTTTCAAGTATGAAAACTAATGTTTAATAATTGTATATACATTACAGTACCATCTGAGTATTATTTTTATGAAAAATATTCCTATCAATTAATATATATAGTTTTTTTTATAAAGTATTAAATATATTTATATATTTCTTAATACTTAGTTTGTTTTAGATGCTATTTCACTATTTCTAGTAGTATAATTTTTTAATGCTTCATCCAGGTTTACTTTATCAACACATTCAGCATTTATGAAATCCTTGAACAAAAATAAAGTTTAAATTTAATAAACAATACTATAAAAAAATTGTGTGATAATTCTAACAAAAAAGCTTACCTCTATTAATTTAAATTGGTCTTTTGAACTGTCCAATTCAATTTCCAGGCCTTGATTTAACTTTGTATATAATTGTATAAACAATATTACATCATCAAACCTAAAATATCATCACATTTTATCTCAATTGTTTAAAACTATTAAATATGTAAACTAGTTTACAAAATAAACTTTAAATAATAAATACCTCTCAGTTTGAAGACAATACAATAAAAAATTATCTGGTTTTTTATTAAAAGCTAAGTAAAACAATAATGGTCCTAAATGTCTTGTGGACTCCAAAACATGATAATTTTTAAATTCATCAACATGTTTATATGTACTGAATACAACACGGTGGTAGTTTTTATCATCAGGTTCAAATTGACAACATGCCCGATCCAATATGAATTCATAATCACCATTTTCAAGAAGTGGCTACATTTAAAATAAAATTTAAATAGGTAATAAAAAAACATTTCTAGCCAATAGGTACCTTCAAATTTGTATCATCAAACATGACTGGATGCTTTAATTCTCTTCCTGATTGAGGAAAATATATTTGATTTACAGTATGACGTTCATCCTGGTTAGCTTTTCTTAGTGTTCCATCAGGTTCTCGTACCACAACTATACGTCTCTATGAATTATGTGAATTCATTAGGTTTTAGTTAAACAAAAATTTAAAATAATGTTGTATAATTTAGTTAATAAAAAAATTACTTTATCAGATACACCAAAAGTAATATCCGTAAATATGAATTTTGAGCTATCGAAACCAATAATATCCTTGTTAACTTCCAATACTTGTCCCAAATCAGTACGTAATGGTACTATTGGTGGCATCTGAACTTTTTCCTTAGCTTTTACTTGAACTTCAGCTTGCATCTATTTAAAAAAAATGTAATATTTAAGAAATCTATAAATATATTGTTAATACAATTAATTAATTTTTAACAAATTGTATTATCAATATGTTAAAAATGAACAAACTTTTTCAACTTCTGCAGTGGTCATGAATTTATAAATTGGAGTGTCAGGATTTTGTCCGATAAAACGCTTTCTAAATGCTTTCTGTACATCAACATGGGTAAGTTTAAACAATAAATTTTGCACAGGTTCCGCAAAAAACGCATTACTCAATTCTTTAGTAATTTCTCCTGGAATAATAATAATTATATTATCATAAGTCATAACTATTTTCTACAATACAACAATAAATATATGTATTATGCCATTACTCATTAGTATTACATAGAACAACAAAATCCAATTGTGAATAGTAAGATAAATTAAGAAACAATATCAAACTTTGACTTACGGTCATGTGACTGGCTGGAAAAACTATAAACAGTGATGTTATTTAAACTTTTACATTTATGTTTATAACCATTTTGAAGTCGATAAAATGATGTCAATAAATTTCTCAAAGTCATATTTACTTTTAACAAGGTAGCTTATTCAATATTTCTTAAAAACAACTTAAGCTAAAAGTTAAAACATTTTAATTTAAAATTAATGAATCAAGTCTTAATTCTCAGTAATAACTCTTGTAGATCGAGCATGTGAATATGTGATAAATGATAATAGAATTGATGAAAAAATGAAATGTCGAACTTTGCACTGTGGGAAACACGGTCTCTAATCAGATACCGCTATCAAAATCGGGAAATCTGTCCCAGCCCCGGTTAATACCCACAGATATATATGTTTATATATCTGTGTCAATACCATAGACCTATTACTATTAACTATTTAGTTAATAGGTCTATGGTCAATACCACGATTTATTATCATAAATAATATTCACCACAACCATGGTTTAAATTTAAAACCTAAAGAGACGCTAGAATGTTAGATAGGACAAGATTAGTGATAACAATCTTGAATCACGTTAATAATATAACAGCAATTTATTGTTTATGTAATAAGTAAACAGTAAACATTGTAAACATAATGTTTAAATTTGCATGAATTAACCGCCACATTTTGTTTCAACTTCAAAAATGAATACATATTACAAGTAAGTAGTTTTAACACTTATATTTCATTAATACTGTTAAAAAGAACCATAATGGATGAATTCGTAAGACAAACGTTAACAATTTCTGTTGCCCAAATATGTAATAATATTGGGTGGCACTCAATAACAGACTCTTCGATGAAAATTATGACTGACATACTTCACCACTATATCAGTGATTTGTCAATAACTTCTAAAAAATACGCAGAACATGCATATAACAATGTACCTGATATTGAAGACGTGGAAAAGGCTTTTCGTCAGAAATCTGTATCATTGAATGAGTTACGTAGATATATTAAAAGTACTGGTCCAGTTAAATTTCCTCATAATTTACCTCTTTTAAATATATCAGGAAAGAATGTTTTAAATACACTGAAGCCAGGAAGTAGGGAAATGTTAACTAGACCTATTCATATTCATGAACACCTCCCAACATTGTATACAGAACAAATTGAAGAGGAACAAGCAACAGATACAGAACAAAGTCAAAATATTATAACAAATACTAAACAAGAACCAGAAGAAGTTATTTTACACAAACGGTTAAGAGAGATTTCAAGTGTAGTCATGACATCTGGTGGGTTTTTATCACCATCTAGAGAAGGCAGATTGGCAGACTCTAAATTATTGCCATTTCCAGAAATCAAAATTGATAAGCCTCTTGAAACATCTAAACTGTCCGTTATTTTACCTAATTTAGCAAAAGAACCATCACCAAGGATTTTAAAAAACAAAAAGAAAACTAAATCAGGGTCAAAGAAAAAACTTAAAGCTTCTAAAACGCAAAAATTACTATTACAACAAAAAGAACAAAAAAAAGAAGTATTGAAAAATAAAAAGGAAGAAAAAATGCTAATACCAGAACCACCATCTATTATTCCAGAACCTGTTATAGAGGATATAATTGATATTGTAAATGTAACTGAAAAGGTACAGGTTCCGAAAAAGGTTATTCTTACATCCCATACTAACAAAGTGAAAATGGAAGAAGTTCTACCTAAATTTTCATTTTTTGGTCCTTTACCTCCTGGACCTGGATTAATACCAACTACATTTCCACAAATAATTAATCCTGTGTTAAATGTACCTGATATAATAGAAAAACCAACCAGTCCAGTATTACAAGTTGAAAATGACGATATTAATCGCAAAGAACAAAAGAAAAAGAAAAAAGACAAGAAAAAGGGGAAAAAAGAAAAAAAAAAGCAAAAAGATAAAGTTAAGGAAAAGGTAAAAGAAAAAGAGAAGGAGAAAGAAAAGAAAAAAGATAAATTAAAATCTACCAATAAAGTGCCAAAACTAAAATTTAGATTTGGGTCTCGATTAGAAACCACAACTAAAGTTTTACCTGTTGAAAAATCACCAGAAACAAATATAACTTTAGTTTCAGAACCTGAACCAATGGAAGTTGAAGTGGACATTGAATCAAAATCAGACATTTCTATAGATATATTACATGACATTGATTCTCCTCCTAAAGTTCCTATTCAAAAACTTAAAACTAAAATTGTTGCAAAACCCATTCAGCCTGCAGTTATACCTCCTCCTGTAAATGAAACTCCTCCTCCAGCATTCTATTTTGATGAAGCTGGTAATCAAGTATGGATATGTCCTATGTGCACTAAACCAGATGACGGAAGCCCAATGATTGGATGTGACGGATGTGATGTATGGTATCATTGGGTGTGTGTCGGTATCCAGTGTCCTCCAGACTGTGCTGTTTGGTTTTGTCCAAGATGTTTGGCCAAACGAGCACAACAACCAAAAGGTAAAAGAGGTAGACCACGTAAAAACAAATGATAGTATGTTATAGTTACATTAAAATATACTCTAAATTTACATTTCTTTTATTAATTTTAAGATTCATTTGTATTTAAAAATAAATTTTGTATGGTATTTATTTGAATTCCTATTCACTTACAGTTTAAATTAAATGTTAAATTACTCTTCCAAGTTAAAGCAAGTTTAAGTACATTCAATATTACATAAAATACTATTAAGTTTAATTTGACATTTTCTGTGTAAATTGATCTCATGTACAAACAGAACAAAACATTAACTGATTTCTTCTATAATTATATATTATAAAAATTACTTCCCAAATAAATACTCGATAATAAAAAATAAACATGTCCATGAATTGTACTTTTAATTTTTCATACAACAAATTATTATTATATTATGAAATATAAAATATGTTAACGTTAAGGCAGAAACTTAAAAGCATACAATTTATTTATTTAATGTTTTAATGTTTAAAGTCAATTTATATATTTATTTAGTTGCATTAAGATTGTATCAATGCTAGAATAAAAAAAGGGGTCTAGACTACCATTTATGATAGGATGTATTAGTAACCATTATTAAATACATGTAAATGTTAAAATATGTTGATTTATTACAAATATAAAATAACAGTATTATACCACAGCAATTAAGTAATAATAATTAATCAATCAAATATAACATAACAAGTATAAAAGTAGAAAGATGAACAAAATCAGGGACTGGTCTTAACTCTTAGAGTGGAATTGTTCACACTAATTCACTCCGGTTAACAATTAGTTATTATTTATTTTACATTCACCTGACTAAAAATACCTATCAATATTACAATATTTTATTGAGTTTTGGTGCGTAACAAAAACGTTGTTGGTTAACTCTTCGTGGCTTAAACACAAGCATGTACAGTGCGGCCCATTATTCTGTTGGAAAAAATTTAAAAAAACCTAACGACAGAATTCACACAAAATGGTCGCAAAAATTATGACAGTAAATTTAAAAAAATTACCTAAGCAATTGCCTAGTTAAATTGGTAAGTAATAGTAAACAAACACCAGACAAGACACAATGGGTGCGCGGGAGTAAAGCTCACGCATCAAGCAAAGGCAGACGTTATCAGTTTACGCTGGTCCGACGATGTCGACGTGGGAGTCTGCTAGCCATTAATTCAATCGGCAGAGGTTCAAGTTTTGGAAATCGGGATGAACAGTGGTCGGAGGAGAGCTTGTAAATTGCGCCCATATTGAACAGCAAGTATTTAAATTCCCCCGGGAATTTTTGTTTTCTGAAATAGGCATGTAGTAGATTGCGCCCATAGTATCCAAGTGGCCTCGAATTCATGGATATCTATTATACGCACATATATTATTTGAAACACTTGTTCATTTATTGGCGGGTAAGCCCAACGTTTATCGCTATAATCGTTATATTAACGATTTCAAACGACTTAACGTTTGGCCGTTTGGGTAATAGTTTAGAAAACCTTTTACGTGTGATAGTGTTGAATACGCAAAGATGATGTCTCATTACTATGCTGGTATATATTTGTCTTTATTTTAGTATAGTAATCATACAATCTGTTAAGTAATTTTTTCCAATAAACACAAAATATGATGTTTGAATTCATCGAAATATTAGGAAAAAAATATCAAATTAATTCAATTAATAATGTTTCGGATTCCGAAACATTATTCGGATAGGGGGCTTGTGAGTTGTGAGAACTTTGCTGATATTATACAACTTGAGTATAATTGTATTACTATTAACTCTAGTTAAACTAACCCTTTATTAACATAAATTGATCTTGCATAAAATATTTATTACAACTTTTTCCCTTCGTTGGGCGCAATTTACGTTTGTCCAGTTGAAGTGTCGGGGGGGGGGGGGAGCTGTGATCTCCCCACTTTTTATAATTCAAATTTTCTATCCCTCCACTTATTTTATACAACTGTTGTTCAAACCATATATTTGCGAGAACCATATAAACTATGAAAGGTGTTTCCACTAATTTTTAGCCACTTCCACCACTGGGGATGATGCCGACTGTGGGTGAGGAGGAGTCGGACGAGAGGGGACCTGGAAGTCTGGACTGTCCATTGTACCGGTGGCAACACACACTCAACAGGCGTCTGTCCTGTTGGCTGTTTAACGCCTTACCATGCCGCGGAGAAGAAACAAAGACGCTCCTTTTGTGTGGGGCCGCCTCTGGTCCGAATCCACGGCCGGTTTCATCCCGATATCCAAATCTTGAACCTTAGCGTCGACCTAAAAGTTCGCCCATTATATCTTATTCAAGATATTTCTCGATTTGTTTCATCAGATGATTTTCTTCGTCTATAATGCTGACGTTAAAATATCCAGTGGACAGTGGTATCTATTTCTTCGTTAGCCATGGCTTGTATTTTACAAAATAATAATAATACTATATTTTAACCTTCTATTATTGTAGGTAGACGCACTGTAACCTAACCTAACTATAGGTCAGCATATAGAGGATAATGGGATTTGGATATCATAAGATAGTTACAGGCTTACAGCTATAGACATTGTGCTTTTTTTAGGGTAAAAGTATAGTATCTATGAATTGATCATTACAATTTTTAAAAAAAGACAGTTATTCTATAGCAGTCAACAGTTGTTTTAGGTAGCTATATACATATTTATTTGATTTTACTCAACATATAACTTAGGTTGGTTGCATTTTCAAGGTTTTCTCAATAACTTTGATTGCATCTTTTATAAACAACCTACATTTGTTAATTAAAATCTGTTTTTGGATGTCTGTTAACGGCGTTAAATTGTGTTCCATTAAATTCTTAACGCTATCCATAGCACATCGAGTGACTGATAGTATTCTAATGTCTATTTCATCGCTAGGACAACTGAGTTTTTCTCTTTGCCGTAAACAATTTTCCAATTGACAGATAATCTCACCAATTACTGGATTTTCTGGAATATTTCCAAAGTGCAATGGACTGTCATCGCTCCAAGGCAGTTCAAACGAATTATCAGACATTGTGAAACTATTAAAATTAACTCGATAATAGTATCTGTACTGTTATATTAGATATATTAGTATATTAACGAACAAACAACTAGATTATATATTTACCAGTAGTCCATACCTACCTAGGTAATTATAATTTTATGTCAGCCAGAGGCATAATTCATAATTATTAGGAAATTGTTTCCTACCTAAAATGAATGTAATTTTTACTATTTACAGAATTTGCATTGGCACGTATACATCCACCATTTTTGCTTTTAATAGATTTTGTAAATTTTTATTAGAATTCGAATTGTGTACACAAAGTCAAAAATGCATTTATAGTATTATATCATTATGCATTTCGAATATGATCATAAATATTCTTTTCAATACTATCCAATATCCATATATTTATAATTTGATACACGTTTTACAATATATTATGATTTACAAAAAATATTATGATATCGTTGTTTAAAATTAAAAACGATGCATTATGGGCTTATGATCTTTACAATTTCATGTGAGTTTAAGGTAGGTTCTTGTGCTTAATATATGCATGTATATTGTGTAATATAGTATATAAGTATACAAATAATAATTAGTTAATATAATGAATTAAAATCTTAAAATTAAATATTTCTTTTTTCTGATGAACTATCCACAATGATAGCTACTAATTTAAAAATTAAAATCCAGATAACTGCAGCATTCGAATCTGACATTTAATTTTTCTCTCATGCATAGAAAAGCAGTTAAGCTTTTTGTGTCTATTAATTTACTAAATTAGTGACATTACTGGAGGATCATCGTCGTCTTCGTCTTCGAAGTTTTTTACCAGAAATAAATATCAACATTTATTTCAATCAACCCATGACAACGAATGAATAATATTTTCTTAATGATTTTTAGGGGTTTTGTGTAGGCAACTTCAGGACATTTCTTCTTACACGTCCTTTCTTCTATAATATTATAGAACCGCGAACTAATTTTGAGATTGTTCGATTACTGTGTTGGCGGTATTGAAACCAAATAAATTCTTATCACATTTTACAATATAATATAATATATTATTAAATTGGAAATACTTTTGTCTTTACTCGTTTGCTGTATTTTTCTCGATCTTCTCAACAGACATAACTACGTATATTGAATAATAATGTATGTATACACCTATACGGGATTCTTCAAATTTAGTGCAAATGCACGTGTGAGAAGTGCATTTCTCTAAAATGTGTATACAGGTTTACATGGCAATAATACATCTAGTTACACACTGCATGTGTTATAGACGGATTTGCCAGTTAATATCACAATATCATAATAACACGGCATAACGGCATGAGATGAAGTGTAAACCTTGACACCAGTATAATAGTATAGGCACTTCGTACCTAAACCAATATTCTAACAGCTTACTGATGGCTAATGCATTCCATTACTTAGATGATTGTTTTTGTATATAACTCATTTTTCTTCTTATATTGAAATTTTGAATAAAAAAAATGTTAAAAAACTGCTAAAAGGTTAAAACAATTTTTACTTTTACTATGAGCATTGAGTCGATTGACATCATTCTTGTCTGCAACGTAAAATTTTCCTTAATTTTCCGCTGTCATTTACAGTGCCTGGAAGGAAATAAGGAATGCGCCCAAAAAAAATTGTTCCAATGATTTTGTTCAAATGTTCAAGAACATAATTGTAAAGTAGTTCCTTTTTCATGTGAGAGAACTAATAGAATTGTATTCATTTTTTAAAGGAACGTGAACGATTTTATTTGTTCCTTTTTTTGTTCAATTATGATTAAATATAGAGAATTCGAACAATTTTTTAGGCAACAGTTTTTATAATTTTATGTTTTACTATTTTAGTAGCTATAATAGCTGTAATCTAGGACGATATACGATAATATTGACAATGTTTACAAAAATATAGTTAGTCAAGGGGGTCTTTTCGGTCTTAGCTTGTGTAAAATAACCAAATTAAACTTTTTAAAGACAAACTACATAATTAATCAATTTGTTACTACAAATTATATTAATACAATTTTTTAAATGATTGAGATACGAAAAATGTTCTTTATTTAGGAGCAAGAAAAGGAACTACGTAGTTTTTTTCATTAAAGCAGGAACGAGAAACAAATAGTTCCTTTTAAAAAAAATTAACTTGAACGTGAACTAATTCCTTTTTTAAAACTTTCCAAGCACTGGTCATTATTGCATGGATAAAAATGCATCTCACTTCCACATTGTTGACACTCCATACTTTCATCATTGAAAAAAAAACAGTTTTATTTATAAAAAAATCGTTATTTTTCCTCCTTGCATATATATTTATGATTAAATTTTAAAAAAAAAATCGTTGCCAACATTTTGATTTTTTAAATCCCACACAATAGTTTCGTGGTGCATAGACGATCGATCATTTTATTATGTATCATTATATAACATTGTCATAAACTAACTAAGATAGATAAACCAAGTAGGTATATATAAAACATACCTACAACGTAGTAGAAGTTCGCAGTAAACCTTATCTATGGTCAAGCCACTAAAATGTGTTAAGCACTTGCAGTAACCGGTGCCTTGGTTATATCATTATATTTATATTTAAATTAAAAATTAATTTATCTAATACAATTCAAATTTTTATTCTTTAAGAAAATAAAGTCCACAGAGTTAAGTTTTTAAAGCAATTTAAGATTTTAAACTATCATACAAATTATTAACTTTAAATAATAAATAATAAATACTGGGATATGACTATATGAGTTATTTTATGATAGGTATTTTTAATTATTAGTTATTAGCTAGGTACTAAAATAATATAAAATAACAATAGGTACAATAGTACAGGCGTACAGCAATTGACTATTGAGTAATTTTGATATATTATGTATAATACATTTATAAAAACAGGTAGAACAATAAAAAACAAATAAAAACAGAAATACCGGATGTCGGATATGCCACCATGCCAGTGACGTCTCTTCGCGTCACTTGTCTCGGAACGAAATAATGAGTTATAATTTATCATAGCACAGGTATTTAAATTCAATGATAAACAATAATAATTGCATTGACGTATTATAAATTCTAACCCAAGTTAAGTTTAGTATAGTGTTTCATTTTTATAAAAATTCTTAAAGTTCTCCTGAGGAAATAATAATTAAGGATTTTTAATAATAAGAGCGTATACGTAAGATGAGAAATTTTTGATTTCTTTATAATTATCGTCGATAAATAATTTTTCTGTTAGTCAAAATACTTGAAAATATAATAGAAGGTTCCAGTAAGATTTTATCGTACAATTTTTCCAGTGTCACTTTTGAAGTCATCATTTTTTAGTTTTAAGGTATGTTAAGCGTTTGAAGTTTTTCAAATTATTAACAATATTAAGTATTAACCCATAAAATAAATATTTCCCCTCGAATGGTTTAATATTGCGTTGAAATTAAAAAATGAATAACCGTAGTCCGTAGATGTTGGTATTTGAAATTATCACCAAGTAGTTATTTACCTATATTATAATTTTTTAGGCATGGTATAATATTTTCAAAATATTTTGATTTCTTTTGAGCTATTTATAGATATTTTACATTTTTGACTCTTTTTATATTGATGTGGATAAACAAATGCTAACTCTTTCAAAATGCTTGAGCATCTAATACAAGGTTCCTAATTAAGTTTTATTATAACCATTTTAAAATATTAAAGATACACAGGATGTATCACATTTATGTGGAGAATTGTATACATTGTTTATTGAAAACCACAGTCATCAATCTTCATATTAATATTATAAAATAGAGCTATATGACGAGATATTTTCTAGAATTATGAATAATATAATATTCTTTACATAAATACTGTCGATGGGCCATGAGGGGTATCTGAACATTTGAGCCTGGCTACGCGCCTACGCCACTGGCCAGCACAATTTGCTTCTCAATTCCTATCTTTTTTTGTGACTTACATGCTATTATACTGAAATATATATTATATTGTGACCCTATATGCTACATAGATATTATATTAAAATGTTAATAGCCTTCTATACTCTATATAAGTATACCACTATATATCATCATACTTACTTAGAGCCACAATGTCATCTAGTCATATGTATAATCAAAAAAAATTTAATGGAATCATAAATCAAATTTTGCCGATTTTGTACAGTCGGTAGTCAAATTTCTTATTTTGCGTACTTATTTGTCAATGGCGTTGTTGATTTCATAATTTCAACTTAAAACATATGGGCAGATACATTATAATATTAAATAGAACCGGCTGGAGTAGCTCTACACTATAATTGTTACTTGTTCGCGACCTCGCAAGTCGCGGCTATCTCATTGGCCAACTATTTTTCAATTATTTTACAAAGTATTTTAATTAGGTATTTGAATAATTGGTTAATACTTAATAAGACTCGAAAATTTAATTTGTGAAGTCACAATTTACAATAAAATAATAGATTTTTTTTTAATGCTTGTAAGTAGGTGTATAGGTATATTCAATGTGCTAATAAATTGTAAATATCAAAATTTTTCAATAATTTTGAATCTTCTGAAACATTAATCATATCAAGTCATAAATAAAAATCATTAATCTTAAATTTTAAATCAGGTATATAAGTAACTGACAAAGTGCCTTTATTGGAATGCTTCTTTGATCCTTCGTGTTTTCAAGCCAAATATTATAATATATTCATCCATCTTATTTTACTTATTGATCTACCTAGTAAGTTGTAACAGAAACAGATTGTAGTAAAATACTGTAAAAAATTTAAAAAATTTAAATAAGAAATATACTGCCTCGATTTGTTTAAAAATTTTAAAAATGTAACTATACTTTCTTAATGGACTACTTACATTATGATTATTAATATTTATAAATGATAAGCAAATTTATTTGATTAAAGTTGGATTATGTAGTTATCAATATTTTATTGAAAATAGTAACCAACTGTTTTTAAATAAGTGGTTATAGGCACTATGCATTATAATACCTACTGAGTCAGAAAGATCATTATCTTATATCTACCTATACTTATAGATTATAGATATTAGATATACTTACTTTATCAGTGTTTTAATTCTTTCTGAGCATAGCAGAAGCTCGATTTGTTGTATATTATTATATATTAAAATATTATTATGTACATAAATACATTCGGACACACACAACTTCATGAAAACGATACATGCATGTATTGTTTTGGTCATCGTAAATTATGATTATGACAATAATATATGACGTGTCGAAAATCACCCATGAATACCTAAACGTAAATAATCATACTTGACAATATAATATAATATAGGTAGGTACAATGTACATATAATATCAATATCAACGAATAACAACACTACACAGATTCACAATACGCGTTGTGGGTACCGGCCTTGGTACCTGGTACAGCATTTACCAATTACCGTAGACGACTGTCAACGTATACCTCTATATACCTAC